CACTATTCTCTAGTATTTCCAATTATGTTGCATTTGGACACTACTGCAGATAAACTCATTTCTTGCAGTCCATAGGATAGAGTGTTATTTGCAACCATGTAGGCTTGAGCATTCTTCTTTAGCTTTCGATATTCACTTGAACGATGTCCAGCCTTGCCATAATTGTAACAATTTCCTTTGAACTTCTTTAGCCTTCTTGGAATTGTCTCTTCATGGTGTATAATTAGGAGCCTTTCATTTCTTGTTTGTTGCCTTTTGTTCCATTTCAACAAAATTTACATCATCTTGATCAACCGACATTTGTTCGATTTTTCGATTGTCCGCTTCAATCCTCAAGCACACAATCAATTTTTCCAAGTTCATTTCCTTGCGTTTGTGCTTGAGGTAATTTTTGAAATCTCTTCACATTGGAGGGAGTTTCTCAATAATGGCAGCCACTTGGAACGATTCACTCAATTCCATTTCTTGGCATGGATGTCGTGTAACAAGACTTGAATTTCTTGCACTTGGCTAATCACAGTTTTGGGATCCACTATCTTGCAGTCCAAAAATTTGTCAACAATGAACTTCTTTGTTCCGGCATTCTTGGTCTTGTACTTTGTCTCCAAAAAATCTCATAGTTCCTTGGCCCATTCCTTTAAACTATACACCCCATATAGTGTATTATCCAATCCGTTTAGGATTAGTTCTTGCATAGGAAGTCTGAGTGTTTCCATGCATCCAAAGTAATAATCGATTCACGATTATTTTTCTCTTCTTGTACAACCGGTGTAGCTTTCTTTAGAAATTTAGCCAAATTAAGAATGGTGAGATAAAACAACATCTTTTGTTGCTATCTCTTGAAGTCTACTCCTGTAAATTTTTTCGACTTTTCTCCATATGGGATAGTAGTATTATGCAACGGTATGGCTACAGATGATACCGCATTATTGGAACCATTTTGACTTGACGAAGTCCCGATGGTAGTAATTTCTGTTACACAAATAGAAGTTCAACAAAATGATGATAATATCAGTGGAGGAATAGTACACAAAGCACTATTCAAATAAAGTAATGGAAGACACAAAAATTTATCTTAAGTTTGTTGGAGACGACTTATAAAAAGGGCTATGTAAGGGGTTGGTTTTTGATATATTTGGTTGACCAGTTTTAACCCGCAAGAGCGTGATCAAAACACAATTTATATGAATGAAAATTTGGTCAGAGTTTTGATATAACAATTACGTAAAACAAGGATTAAAGAGTAGAAATAGAGAATAATCCAAGGTGAGACGTTATCTCTTTCCTTAAGATAAATTACCCTGCTATGGCGCTCACGATAAATGACACTTATCTCCCAAGATATAATGGATTCACAACTTGTGGTAATAGCACTTCAAACCACAAGAAACCGACGAGCTTTTGACAGAATTTTCCCTCTACAAAGGAAATGCATGAAAATGCTATGTAATTAGAAATGAGAGAATTGCAAGAGGAGAATGAATACTCAATGCAATTGGTGTACCCAAAATCCATAGGGTCTTATTTATAGATGTAGAAAGGGTGAAAATGAAGTAGTGTATGATTAAAACATGCATCATTTCGAAAAGTTGCAATACTTGGCAAAAACCTGCATCCTTTCGAAAAGTTGCAACACTTCATTTCTCCCAACTTTGATCCGCAATTTCTCATTCATTTGGAATTAGTTTCGAGATTCCAAATACACCATGACGATCTACTCGACGAATAGAATAAGTTGGTCTATTTACTTTTATAATTTGACCATCGAATCAACTCTAAATATTTGGTCGAAGTTGACACATAGTTACACCTTTTCATTTTTCAATTTTTGGTTAATTATTTAAACCAATTCCTACAATATTTTGAAATTACCTACGTACATATATGTGGGAGTAGAAACTTATTTAACAAATTATGTTAAAACATAACCGATATTCACTTCAAATTTTATTTGTTTAATTTTAATCTATTGATAATAAAAGTTATGAGTAAATGTTTCAAATGGAAGTTTTACATTAATATAAAATTCGACACTTAATTAATTGAGGTTATGATATTGTATACTATATTTTTTGGAGTGATATATTGGTGATAATATATGATGTAAAAAAGCAAAGGGGTACATATAACTCATAATAAAAATTTAGGAGTACAAATTAAAGGCAAATTTAATGTGTGGCTAATGATATAATATAGCTATTAGTTATAAATAAGTAAATCAAATGCGATGTTACATGCAAGTCCATAATGTAGAGTGTAGAATTATTTATTTATTGATTTTTCTACTCTAGTCATTCCTTACCCAATTATGCAGTAAAGTGACAAATAATAGAAAGCTGTGTTATTATAGGACAAACTTGGAAAGTGGAAGAAATGGGGTAGATATTTGACTTACATACCAATGTTTGGTATTGTTTCTAATTTCTATTGCACTATAATGTCTCAGTAAGCGTATTGGTGTTAATGTATATAATAAGCATTAAGAGTCCCGGTCAATTGAAAAATGAGAAGATTTATGATTTAAATTTTATTATATAAGTTTATGCTCGTGCTATACTTTAGATTGTATAAACTCAATGCTTTAATGGATAGTGAGGAAAATAAGTAAAAAAAACTTAAAGTTTGGAATAAGGTGAAAAAACAAATAAAAAAAGCTCTACAAGTTGAATATCTTTGGAATGTGCGGATATTTAAAATTTTTAAATTAGATATACATTATATATTTATTATTCTTTGTGTAAAACTGACTTTTGAAAAATGTTAGAAATGAAATTGGAGATATGCAGGTAAAATACAAGAGTTGAATGGATACACATGTTCAAACATGTGACTACAAGTCAATTTTAAATTTCATCTATTTATCTTATTATACTTAACTTGACTTTGATATTTTGAAATGTTCTTAGAAGATTTTGCAAATGTGCAAGCAAAAAAATAAGAGCTTTACAAATTGATGATACCAAATAAATTGTAGTCCTAGATCAACATATACAAATCATCGAGAGGGATGAGTTTAATCCCATAAGAGAGTCACCATAAGAGAGTAACCCAATTTTTGTGATTAGAGATCCCATGAAGAAGGTTTAATTCGATAGAAATAGCCCGCATTGTGTGACTTGTAGTAGCACTATTTATTTGTACTCATCCCCTATGATGATAGTGCTAATAATAATTTTATGTTAGGAATGATTTATCCCTGAATGAGTACCAAAGAGAATTCTCAGGAAGTATGGGCCACACATCTTTGGAGAACTCACCTATGTAAGAGTTGTCATGAGACAGTGGCTATGAAATTGGGTTATTCCCTCGAGACTCTTACTAGAATCGAGACAAAAGTGCATGACCATTAACAATACTATTCGCTATGAACTGAGCTTAAATCGACACTTTGCATGGAACAATTAAAGTTTGGTCAGAGGGACTTAATTTAAGGTTTAGTCAATTATGATTCTTTCAAATAGAAATTGTTATTACTAAGTAAATCCAAAAGATACTTACACTTATTACACAGTATAGCGCTGCCACTATTATATACATATTTATCTATTTTGAAAGCTTAAAACTTGTGAAGGATTGTTGTAACTTAAAATAAGTTTCATCTTTTCAAAATTAAGATATTTTAATTTTAAGTTTTAACATAAAATTAAAACATCATAATTTATGTGGTAACTTATATTTTAATGGTTTAGTTGTGGGGTTGATATTCCCCTATAAACGTAGGTGATATTTCATTGAGGGATAGAACTAGAAAAAAGACAAGCTGAAATATTATATTCTATACATTTTATACTATATTTTTATAGTTTTTTTGGCAATTCAATACTAGCGCTGCTACTATTATATATATATTTATCCATTTTGAAAGCTTAAAATTTGTGGATGATTGTTGTAACTTAGAATAAGTTTCATCTTTTCAAAATTAAAATATTTTAATTTTAAGTTTTAAAATAAAATTAAAACATCATAATTTATGTGGTAACTTATATTTTAATGGTTGATATTCCCCTATAAAAGGACGTGATGTTTCATTGAAGGATAGAACTAGAAAAAAGACAAGTTGAAATATTATATTTTATACATTTTATACTATATTTTTATAGTTTTTTGGCAATTCAATATTAGGCTAGTCCTTTAACTCTCCGTACTCGTGTTCATAGGAGAACCGGCTATGAGTCTTATGGGTTTTCTCGTGAAGTCATGTAGTGCCTAAAACACTCGTATAAAGGAAAAACAACACGACTTTAGGACGACGTTTTCGATATAACTCTTAAGGTTTGCATTCAAACTCACTTCTTATTGTTTAATTATAATGTTATCATATTATTATATTTATGCAAATATTAAATTATGTTATTTATATTTATTATTTGATATATTTATCTACACATAAATTACTCATTTTTCCAACATATAAAAATAAATTTTTTCACATTTATTTGCAAAATTTATTGTAAAAATATTTGATGAAAATGAAATTGTAAAAAATGAATTTCAAAAAATTGTGCTCAAACATGTGCTAAATACTATTTCGTGTGTCGGACGCCAAGCCTCTCATTTGAATCAAGTTAACAGAACAATTTCGGATACGTTATCCACTCACACCACCTCAACATTTCACTTCCCTCAGTCACGTATAACACCACGGCGATATCTCACGTTCTTCATCGAACGGTCAAAAACGGACCTTTTGTCAACACTCGCTAGCTTGGAGCGTGAGATACTCACCCAGCAGACCCAATATCGCTTAATTATAGTAGTTGGAAGAAATAAAATTAAAATCAAACAGGCGGTCACCAAAAATTCCTCAAACCACTCACCATTTACCGCCACGTGCAATATCCGACCCTTTTGTTCAGATTAAACGCCAATTAAAATTGATTTGATGACCTATCAACGTCCAGTAATGTGACACATGTCAATCAAAAGGTAATAATGAAATTTTGTGCATATTTAGGTAGCTTTATCGTTATCCTTTACTTGGGGGCGTATAATTTTGAAACGCAGAGGTACAAAAGAAAATTCTGCAGACAAATTGTGTGCTTTTTCATTTAGTTATACGTTTGCCATCGTTTTTGGTACTTTAAGAGCTCTTTTGGTTCCATTTTTGTAGGTGAAAAGAATGGCGGAGACTCAGATCGGAAATAGTGACGAAGTCGTGTCTGTGGAGCTTCCTGCACCTGCTTCTTGGAAAAAGATGGTATTTTCATCATTTTTTTTAAAAAAAATTGCATTTTTTAAATTATATTTTCTTTTGTTGACCACTCTTGCGTTTAATTTTTAGTTACACTTGTTTAATGTGTTGGAAATTTTAATTTCAATTACACTTGTTTGTATGCTGAATTTTTTTGTTCGTAATAGTTTTTATTGCTAGGGTTTTGGGTAGAAAATGTGTGCAATTCGTTTCATGTGAAGTTTACATTTTTATTTTCCTTCTTCATTATTGTTTTTTGGCCTTTTGAACCTTGAATTTAATTATCAATGTCTGTTGGTGATGTGTTTAATAGTAACTTTTCCAATTCAATGATGAAAATATTTTTTCTTGATGGAAAATTCATAAAATTGTATATTACTACTATAATTTGTAAAGAAATTTATACTTTTGTTGGTATTGCCACTGGGAAGTACTAAGGCAATATCAATTATGATAATTTATTTTTTCCCCTAATCTTAATGAATTAACACATCTAATTTTTTAATTTATTGAATTTTAGTTTTTATGGAAGCTAATTATTGAAGCTTGATCCTTGATAGCAACATACACAGAGATAAAAAAAATTGGTGAAGTGAAGAGAGGAAAAGGGTTGGTGTGTTGGGTTTTGATTGGGGAGGAGGGAGAGGGAGTATGCTGTATTCAATATTTTGACATTCAATTGCAGTGCGAATGTCATTTTTTGCAGATTGTGTAAGTCTTTTATTTTTAATTGGAGGATATGTTTTTTTATTCATTTTTGAAGAATAATGATAAAGGATTTTGGGAACTCGAGTGTATTACAAAAATAGATGGCATCTGGGGAAAATATTCATACCGATTAACTATATTAGTGGCATATGACTATGTGGTAGCTATTATCATTGGTTATGCTACTGTCATTCTTTTGTATGCATTTTATGGGATGGACATGGAGCCCTTGCCAAATCTTTGGAATCAAATTGTTCTGCATGTTTGCTGCAATATTGCCCATCTAATTTGGGCAGTTAAACTTCTCCATATAGAAAAGTTTGACCTGCTAAATATTGACTGCACTATGGTGATTTGGAGAATATCTTGATGCTTAGCCGGATCATGATGTGGCAGCTATAAACCTAAAGCCAAGTCCTTTAAGAATGTTGTTTGTCAACATTAGGTGAAGGAAAATAAAAGTTATAACACTACCTACTTGCTAAGTGAAAAACTTAACAGTATATCTGGTTGTTAAAAATAGACTCCTGGCTAAGACAAAACATCTATTAATACAAAATCCCGATTTTTTCTTTCAAGTTTCATTTCCCTGGAGTTGGTGCGAAACTGAATTGATACTCATTGTCTTTTCTTTGTGGGGATTGCCTTGAGCTCAGGTGTTGGCTATGCATGTTTACTTTTTTGCTTATGAAGAGAGGGTGTTGTGTATTCTTTTGATGTACTGTCGTCAGGCCCAAATTAAGGTGAAACTTGGATTATATTTCACAGTTTGGAATTGAAAGAAAGGACTTAAGAAATGAAGAGCAAGACAGGCAGAGTTTTTAGGTAGTTATTTGGTCTTCATATAATCAGCCTGTCTGGACACTTTCGTTAATTGTTCCTGTACGAACTATTCCAGATTATGAGAAAATGGTTGAATGATAAACAGAATGTTTACTGTGAATATCTGTGGGTAAGTAAGACCCTTGTTGGATTAGCACAAGGGATTCCATCCAATTTAAGCTCTTTCAAGGTACTTTTGGATTTGTGTCACTTTGTTCCAGGGTGCGTTGATGTTCTTTTTTGAACTTTAGGCTTTGTTAGGAAACTTTAATAAATGGTTTGCTCCAGTCCAGTCTCAATATAATGGACTGAATAATGTCATTATGTTTATCTTGGTATTTTAAAAAGAAACTGAATCCAATTTCTTGCCGGCCCAAGATTTGAGGTGGTATTATTTCTTTCCATTTTGCAAATGATTTTTTGTGCTTATTCTTACAAGTACAAGCTGGTTCATTTGTAGAACGTGGAATTGTAGGGAGGAATTTTAATAGAAAGATGCAAATATCATCAACCTGATTTGTCTTGGGCTAGGAAATCATGGGTTGCTCGGTGTAAAAACTTATTCCCATCATATATTTTCTATTTTAAATTCATTATTAATGCAGTCTGGTACTTGTGAAACTATTGTTCTAGAAGTTATTTAGCTCTTCTATAAATTTATCTGTTGTCACGTAGATTGGCTCATTGAGGCTATATAATGATTTTGTTATTGGTAGTTTATGTTGACAAATGTTGGAGTTGATTTCTTGAGACTAAATCTGTGGAAGTCAAAATCAACAAGGAAGAATTATGAGAGAATATCTTATATTGAGGATGTTGGACTTATGACAACTCATTAAGTGGATCTTTGACTATCTTCATGTTTTCCAGTGAGAAATCTATTAGAGACAATAGAGGCTTCCTTGGCGTTTAACGTAGATTGGTTAGGTAGAGAAAAATGCTGGCAGAAATAAATATCACCCAATTATCTTAGGCATGCAAAATTCAACACTGGCTTCGGAACTTGTCATGCATTTTCTTGGTTACTCGTGCACAATTTGGGGGTGGAGAATGAATTTCATTTTGATTTTATGCTGTATTTGTGTGTAGATTTTCCTCTGTCTGTTTAGTATCTTATATGGTTGGTCCATGTTTCTTTTCAGTACATTCCAAAGAAGGGAGGTACACCTAGGAAGAATGAGATCTTATTTATTTCTCCCACTGGAGAGGAGATTACTCACCGTAAACAGCTGGAGCAGTACCTAAAATCACACCCAGGAAACCCTGCTATAGCAGAATTTGATTGGAGCACTGGTGAGACTCCGAGACGATCAGCTAGGATCAGTGAGAAGGCTAAGGCGACTCCTCCATCTAAAGAGAGTGAGCCACCAAAGAAACGAAGCAGGAAATCTTCAGGTACAAAGAAGGGAAAAGAGATGGAACCTGGAAAAGAAGAAATTGAGGGCAAGCAAGAAGTTGAAATGCAGGATGCAGAGGTGGGTGAAAAGAGAGGAGAAAAAGAAGAGGAGACTGATGAGCTGAAGGAGGCTGAGGTTAAGAGTGAAGGTAAAATGCAGGAAGATGCAGCTGGAAAGAGTAAGCCTGAGGAATTGAAAGATAAGAAACCTGAGGAAAATGTTGCGACAGATTTTGAGATTCACAGTGCAACTGATGAGGCTGTTAATGTCGAGAAGGGTGGAAATGATGAGCCTGACAAAGCTAATGGTTCTGAGGAAGTTTCAAAAGTGGAAGAAAACATTGCAGAAAAACAGGTTCTTGGAATCAAAGAACAACCAGATTCAGTAACTAAAGAAGCTGGGGCTGATGATGAGAAACAGGATAAAGTGGAAAATGTCCCTGAGGAAGCAACTGATGGAGCTAAAACAGACATGTCCAATGGCGTGGCCCCTGCGCCTGCAGGAGAAGCTCATGCAGTTGAGGAGAACAGTGGTAAAGCTAATTTACAGGTGGAGGAGCCTGAGAAGAATGCCACTGATAATAGGAAGGTGAACGAAAGTGGGGCAACGTTGGCACATCATCCTTCTCCAACTGCTGCTAGTTGTTAAATTTATTGTTGTCATATATCGTGTGTAACATCTCTGTTGGTTTACCTTCTGATACTAACTTTGCAGACTAGAATGACTATGCTTGAATGAAGAATAGGTTTAGATTTATTATAGATAGGAAATCGACCTTTTGGATTGTCTTTGATGATGTGGCAATTGTTGTGCTGTGCTTATGTTGTAGTGTAGATTGTTATCTGTAATCTGTAGGCATGCTATGAAAGTGTGCACTTCCTAGTATTCCAATAAGTATCTGTGCACTTGCTAGTATTCCAATAAGTATCAAGGGACACCGTACTCTTGTTGAAGCTGGTCTGTGCTATGGTTTCTTATCGACCCTTTCTGTTGATTATCATTAGTTAAAAGTTATAATTTATCTTTCTACGTTTCAATGATCCACGAGTGAGGTCGAACTTGTTAGTGCAACCTTTAATCAGAATCTATTTTGTCTACGTCGTAGCTTGGATGCTTCCATCTTAAGACGAGCTTCTTTGCTGAGCTTATTCTTACGCAATTAACATGTTTGCTACGGTTGTCTATGTTGCCATCGAGATTGGTAGTTGTGTTGGTTATTGCTCTAAACGCTACACAAAGCTGCCAAATTGTAGATAATTCGATATTATTTGTGACTATTTCGAGGAAGGCGGACCTTACGGTCACTAGGGGCATCCTTTGTACAAGTACACTGTGCATGCATGGGCTTATATTACAAATGATCCAAATATAATGACTCAAAGCTAATGACTCAAAATGAATCGAAATATTAGGATAGAAGGAAAACATGGTGTTGTATACATGTGCTTTGATCCGTCTGATAATTATGTCTGAATGGGGCACTATTTCTCAAAAATTTCCGATTCCTTGTTTCCAAAGTGGGTATATTGTGCATGCAAGTGATACTTCTTGACTTTGCTATGCCACGAAGTCCCTTGATCTTCCTTTTTGATCCATTTCAGTGCGCAGAAATTGTGGAAATAGATTTTTTAATGCTCAGCCATTCCTTAATTTGCTTTCAAATGTTAGAGCTCATAGGGCGTTCAAAGAAGAGGTGTAGTGATTCAGCAGTTGATCCACATAGAACACAATTTCTATCAATATCCATATGCTGAGGTTTATCTTTTGCGAGCAGCTTAGATGTTGCACTAAGCCAAAGAACAAAAATGTGTTTAGGAGTAATGCATGAACTCTAAACATCAGCTGCCCAAATCCTTTTGGACCTTTTTTGGTCTGAAATAGTCATAAGCATGTGAGATGTTATTGTCTCCACTAGCTTTCCATTAAGGAATCCTCTTAATAGCTAGCTGAGTAGATCCCTCCAACTGGCAAATCAAATCTTTGAGGCCTAGTGCTTTTTGAGCAGAGGGGAGACCCTTGATAGGTGACAACTCCCCAACGAAGCCCTTTCAGATACACATGATTAACCCAGCGGACAGAAATTATCTCTCTTTTCATGGATGGTCCATAATGTTTTTGCAAGAATGGCAGTATTCCAGCATTTGATGTTTCGAAATCCTAGTCGTCCTTTATTCTTAGGAAGACAAACTTCCTTCCATGCGACTAATGGTTTCCTTGAACCCCAAAGGAAATACCTGCACAACCTTGTGATTCTGGCAGTCACCGCTGCTGGGATTGGAAATATGGAAAGCCAGATGCATTTCACACCTTGCAAAAACAACTTGATCAATATAGTCCTTCCAGCATATCAAAGGGAGGCACTAGTCCAAGCATTAATATAAGCAGCGATTTATCAATGAAAGGTGCATAGTAATTCACTTTCAATTTTACAGATGCTAGAGGAATCCCCCGATATTTAAAGGGGATTATTCTTGGAGGAATGCTCACCAAACCTAGTATTTTCTCTAACTCTTATCCTGTGATTCCTATCGTATATAAGCTGGATTTAGTCATGTTTGCCTGTAGTCCAGAGCTCGCTCCAATTCTGGTAAGGCAGTCTATTAAGATGCCTACTGAGATAACAACCCCTCTTGCCATAAGCATCAAATCATCAGCAAATGCCAACTGTGTGATCTTTATTTGTCTACATTTTGGATGATGGTTGTTGACCTCTTTTTTGTTCCATTGATGTGGGCAACAAATATCAGGCCCACTAGTATACTGGCAATCTAATTTAAACATGTGTATTAGATCACTAGTCGACAATATCTCAAATGTAAACACGGGAGAAGCTTAATAAAACGAGACAAATATGTTCAGGCTCCGACGAGATATTTGAGCAGAACTATACGAAATAGAAACGATCAACAAAAAACCAAACAATAGATTAAAAGCAAATGTTAGATTAACACAATATATGAAAAGATTTAACTCAAGATAAAAAGCTTGTAGCTTTGAATTGGTATAGTTGCATTAGCCTTTTATGATATGACGGGGGTATTTATAGTGTTGCACATGAAATAGTGTTCATTGGATGAGTTGGCAAGTGTTTTCATTTCTTTAACTGGAGCATCGTATCCTAGGCATTGGTTTAATTTCACTAGCCTGTGGCGCACTTAGTGCTCTTAAAGAGAGCAGCTGTAGTGATCGAGAAAAAAATCTTTCGTACTTTTAAAATAAAATTTTCTTGTAGAACTTGAAAATAATTTGAATTACATCATTATGTTGCTACAACCCTTTTCAAAAGTTCAAATTAAAGATTTGGTCACGATAGTAAAGTTTCGCGCACTTGTCCTTTTTTCAAATTTTTTTTTGGTGATGTATCATATCTCTCTTAAATGACAAAATTTTTTGTTATGTGATTTGAGACGACACACTTTATATTAATTTTTGCTTATATGTTAAGAGAATAAATGTAAAATAAAATAAAATAGATAAACCGATTATATTGTAGCAAACAACCCCAAAATTCACCCCCATCATATTTATTTCTTCCCACTCACGATTTTCCTCCACTAATGCATTCCAAATTTTCATTTTTATTATTATTATTATTATTATTATTATTATTATTATTATTATTATTATTATTATTATTATTATTATTATTTTTAATCATTCCTCAGTCTGACTATTCCTTTCCTCCGCTAGGCATCCCATTTGAATCAACCACTAAGTGCCATAACTGTCCAAATCACTTAATACCCATTATATTAATTAAAAAAAAAAAAGAAGGAAAAAACTACCATATCATTTGAAAAAGTAACCTGCACATTCATAACTGCACCATTTATACACATAATTAATATTCCATTTACCATTGTTTTTAATCCCATTTCGGTTACTGCCAATCACCACCATTGTTTTGCAATTGAAAAATAATAATCTCCTATATCCTCTAAAGCCACGTTTTCTCTTCCAAACTATTTTACTTATACGTAAAATTGTTTTATCCTCTTTCCGATAGACATAAGGTACTTTGAAATTTGAAATTTTTTTAAAAGAAAGGCTAGGAGTATGCTGCATCTTATTACAAATTGAATGCAAAAGGGTATTCAAAATCTAAGCATTTAAGGTAGGGTGGTCTGACACTTTTATAAGTGAAGTAAAATTATTTATTTTTGATTTACATTAAATGTGTTATTGTGTTGCTCAAGAGAAAATGGAAGCACAATTTGGTAATTCAAATAAGATATGAAGAGATGATTTCCAACACTTGAAAGGGGTTATCAAAACCTGAGAGTAAGTGGATTGCTTGATCACCTATTCGCTTTGCAAGATTGACGATGTCACAAATAACCAAAGTTTGTATTTCTAGAAAATATATATTTTTTACCATTTACTTATTTGTGTGTGTAGTACTGAGTATTACTTGTGGTACTTATTCCTACTAAAATTCTACGGAATCGAGGTATGGCAGTAGTTTAGCATAGTGGCAAGTGTTTGACGATTTCAAATGCTTTTAACTTTTAGTAAAATTTCAAGTCGTGTAAATTCCTTATGAACACTTAGATGACAGCTTTAAAAAATGTTCAAATGTTTATTTCGTCTAGTTTTATATATATTGCATGTCGACTATAATTTATAAATGTTGGATTGACTATGTTTAGTTACTGTTGAAATGATTTTTCAGATTTTGTCTTCCAATTTGAAAATTGTGTAACTTGGGCTACAACGTATGTTTTAGGGTGAAATCAATGGGGTTTGAAAGTGTTGATGTCGAAAATTGTTAAGCACGATTTTGAGCCAACTTTTAAGGAAAAGAACACCTTTATTGATAATGAAGGATGCAAACGTGTTTCCTTATGGGAGTGGATTGTTTTTGATGATCCTTATCCCTTGGAGGGACCATCATTTTCTATATATAGAGTGAATTAAGTCTAATTCTTTTGGAATTATGTCTTGTCAATCGAATCATTTAGAATGTTGAGCTTGATTTGTGTGCCATCGATCTCATTTTTTGATTCGCTACTGAGATTGGCTTCCATAAAATCACAATTATTTCCCTTTTATTAGAAAATTATGGTTTACTTTAGGATAGGCGGTTATATTAGTTAATTGGTGGGTTTGGATGATGCTGACGTCACTTCATCCAATTGTGTCTAATTGATTGGATGATTTAACAATGTATAAAGAATCTGAAATCATTCTGTCTATTAAAATTATGACAGCCACAAGATCGAGCTGAGCTCATAGGTATGTAGACGAGATAGGTGCTAAATATATTTTCAGTGGGATCGGAGATTGGCAGTTAACATTTTCTTTGCCGTTTGCAGATGATTTCAAGTAGAAGAAGTATTCTACACCTGACATGGCTTCTATTTTGATAGTTATTTTCGTAGTGGGCTCTCAGGCTTTTAAACTATCCTCTAGGGAAGGGGAGTATTTGAAGGAAAAACTTGAATGGCTCAACAAAGAACATGCTAAGATGAGTGATGAAAAGGTGACCCAGAAGGTGAACAAGGGCAAGAAGAAGATGGAGGAGCCTCAAAAGAAGAGAAATTGTCCCATTGGCATTGGCCTTGCTTGACGAAACAGATCTTATCTCCACCACCTCCAAAGCTGATGCAGTCTTCTATCGCTGTTGCAAAGGCTTAAAAGGCAATGGAGGTTAGTGAAGAGCTGCGAAGGAGGTAAAGTAGACCTTCAAAGCTATGAAGAAGGATCTGATGGTGAGGTTTCCTGGAAAATTAGGTAAATTTTTAACTAGGTAAGATGAAGAGATTGCCCTAGTAGTGATTGACATGCTGTAATTTGAAGTCTATGGTGGCACTTCAACATTTTACATGTTTTGGATTGATAGGTGGTAGACCTATGTCTTCACTTGTGATGCGGTGGATATGACAACGATCTTGGTGAGCCAAAGTGCTAGGGCTTTTGGGGCTACTTTAGAATGCTAAGAGGTGCTAAAGGATAGTTATACATGCAATCAAAATTCGATT